CCCCCCCCCAGGGGACAAGAACGCAGAAGGGGCGGCGGCAGGCAGGTACTTTTCTGCGAGGAGAAGCTCCACACCGAGCTGGGGCTGGACTGGCTGGGCGGCTCGCTTAACGTCAGGCTCAGGCTGGACTTCTGGCTGGGCGGAGGCGTCGGGCTCAGGCTGGGGCTGACCACGCTGGTGAGGCGGGGGCGGAAGGCCTTCGCGTCCTCGTCGTCGTCGCTGAAGTCCAAAGCCTTCCAGAAGGTTTCATCGCTGAACCTCCGTTGGGCCTTCGGCGTCTTCCCTTTCTGTCTCTTCGCCTTTTTCTTCGCTTCCTTCTCCTCCTCCGCTGCCTCCTGTTTCTTCTCCGCTCCCTCAGCCTCTTCCACCTCAGCCTCCACCGCCGCCGCCGCCGCCGCCTCCTCTTTCTTCTCCGCTTCCTCAGCCTCCTCCAACTCAGCCCCCTCTGTCGCCGCCTGGTCTTTCTTGTCCGCTTCCTCCTTTTCCTCCGCCGCCGCCACCGCAGTCCCCACCGCTGCCTCCACGTCCTCCTTTTCCGCCTCAGTCTCCTTCGGCTCCTCCTCCGCCGCCTCCTCCGCCTCTTCTTCGGCCTCCTCCTCCGTCTCCTCGGTCTCCTTCGCCTCCTCAAGCTTTGGGAAGCTGCGACTCGACTGCATGTTGGCGGTGGCGGGCGGGACCCTGGATGGCGGCCGGCGCCGTGGCTGCAGCGGTCGACAGCCGGGGCTCGCGCCCTCAGGTGGGCGCCCGGTGGGCAACGGCCTGCGGCGTGGCCTTGGGGGCTTAAAGCCGCAGGGTGCGTCTGCTGGGAGAAACTGCGCTGCTGGGAGCGGCTAAGAATCGGGTAGCTTGCGGAGTGGCTTTCGCTCGTGCTCTTTAGGGTCTCGGAGGGTCCCGACCTATCCTGGCAGCCTGCGGGGAAATGCGCCCCCTTTGAATGAGTAAGGAGTGTGGCTACCCGCTCTGGACACCCATAGGTCACTTGCCGATTGCGATGCTCGAGTTTGATTTTTCGGGAGACAGGTGCTGGTTGGAACTTACAATAAAGCCTAGTTGACAAAAATAGTAACTTATTCTTAGTCATAGTTTGATGATTTTTTTTTTAATATTGCCTTGGTTATTAATATTGATCTTGTCAGTGAGAATTTTTACTCCAGGATCTGTTTGTGGCTTGTTCCATAATTACATCCTGGAGGTGAAAAGACCCGAGGCATCTGATCACTTATACACCACTTGTGACTTTCTGGGGTCTCATTTTCAGCTCATTATACTTGTGAAATTATTATTATAAAATGTTTATGTACACCTAGGTATAATAGACATTCCTTGTCCTAATACTCAGATTGGAACATACACATTCACTGCAGAATTCAGCTTCCCTTTAAAATCTCTCAAGACTGAGAGCCTGATTCCAGGCCTTTCACTCTGTTCCCACAGGTCAGAAGGAACAAGGATGCTCCCCAGGGCCCTTTTGATTAGACACAAATCCCACTGGTGAGAATTCTGCCTGTAGAAACTAAGCACATTTCAAAGGCCTAAATATCCCATTGGAAGGTAGATTTCAACTTCTGAATTTTAGGAGCACAAACGTTCAATTGGGTAGAGGTACACATGAAGACATTTTTAGAAAGCAATAATCCAACCCATTTCTGAGTAAGTTAGATGATGGAAAGGGTCTGAGAAGTCATGAAATTCAACTGACCAATTTACACACGGCGAAAGTGAGTTGTTCAGAGAAGGCAAGTTTGTTTTTGAGACTTCAGAAAACAGGATGGGAATCAGGATGCCGTTGGGAGATGGAGCTGGGAGAAAATGTTTGTGCTTATTCTGAGTTCCCTGCCCATAGCTGGGTTCTCTGACTAGAACAATATTTTCTCAATTGCATAGTGAGTTAATTTTTAAAAGCACACCGTATTTAGAAGTTTTTGAAGGTGTTTTTTTGAAAGTCTTAGTAAATCTTTCTTTGGAAACACTCAACATAGAGCAATATATTTTTATCCTTATAATGGAATGAATCATTCTTTTATTTTTACCATTTTACAGACAAGAAGTACTAGACCATCTAGTGTTTCCCTTTTACACATTTCTGGTGACTCACTGGACTTTAGAGATTTGTAATGAGTCAGTCATTGCCCCTCATTAATTGTGAGTCTGAGCTTCTGAATCTTAGTTCTGTCATCACTGAGATCCTTGACCTGCTTGCTTCATGGAGCTCTTTTGAGACAACATTTAATTATCATTTAAGTTTTTATTATAAATATTTTTATTTATAATTTATAAATATTTTAATTTATAATTTATAATTTATAAATATTTTAATTTTATTTATTTTTAAAATTACTTTTTTTTCTTTTTTTTGCTGTAACACTGTTTTACATTGTTGTTTGTGTTTAGAAGTGTAGGATCTCCTGTCTTAGGTATTACTACTGCCGTGTACCTGCCACAAAGACACTCATAGCTCACAAGCAGTTTGTTAGGCTCCTTCCCCATCTTGTATTTGCCCTTCCTCTCACCTGATACCTCTGATAGCTCAGTTATGTAGACAGCTTTTTCATGTTAGTTCTTACTTTGACTTTATCTGACCCTTTGCTTTATTCGATATTAACATGGGAGTACTTGTTCCGTTCAAGTTGCTTTTTTGTTGTTTATGTATTTTTCCGGTACATACCTGGGAGTGGAATAACTGGCTCATATGGCTGATCCATTTGTAATCTCTTGAGAAACTTCTATACTGTTTTCTATAGTGGATGGACCAGTACATTCCCACCAACAGTGTAAGAGGGCTTCTTTTTCTCCACATCCTTACCAGTACTTGTTTCTGGTCTTTAACCTATGGGCCATTCATACAGGTGTGAGGTGGTTTTTCTGTTGTTAAAATTTGGTATTTTGTTTCTGCTTACCAGTTTTTCTAAAGATTGCATGAAAACCATTAGTTTGATAAAGGTAAAGGGGTGAATTTCCCCCCAGTGTATGCATGCAGAATATTTTCAATGTGCTGTAGCAGGCTCTTTGTACAGGATGAAATCACTGTATGTCTTGGGAATGCTTTTGCTAAGAATTGTTCTCATTCATAATGGAAGCATCATAACAAAGAACCACAGATTTGATGAGAACTGATTATGAAAGTGCCTGGCTGCATTAGTGTTCTAGTCCATTGAAGTTATTATTACAAAATAGCAGAAACTGGGTAATTTGTAACAACAGAAATTTTAAGCACATTTTAAGTTCTAGAGGCTAGGAATTCCAACATCAAGCCGCAGATTTGGTGTATGGTAAAAACTGACTTCCTGGTGCAACTTTATGATAGAAGGGTTTAGGGAGTTTTGTTGTTCTTTTTTTTTTTTTTTTTTATAAGAGCACTAATTCCAATTGTGAAAGTTCCACCCTCATGGATGTCCCAGTGCCTAAAGACTAGGATTTCAACATATGCAAACATTCAGACCATTGCAATCAGCTGTGGGGCATACTTGCCTAACCTCCATTTTCACAAAATCTTGTGAATTTCAGAATATGATTGCTTAAAGCACATTTTAAAAGCCTCTTACTTAGTAGTGACATTAACTTTATTTTCCCTTTAATATTTCATAAGGAGTTCTGTTTTCTGATTATTGTGCAACCAGCAGAGATTGCCTTGGAGAAGTGTTGGTAGGGGAAAGGGGCAATATAGAAAATACTCTTCTCTACCTGAATTCCCTAAATTCTGTTGCTCTCTTCTCCCTGACTTCATATCCTTTTCACTAGTTCTTTAGAGATCAAGCCGAGCTTCCCTGAAATTTTGACTTCACCCCTATCAATTTGTAAATCTGCCTTGTGTCTTGTGTCTGAATTGTTCCTGCAGTTATAGAGAAGTAGATGCCCTTTAACTGTGCCCAAACTAAAAGGGTCATTCCTTCTCTTCCTGCTTCCTACAGGACTTTCCATTCACCCATCCATCCGTCCACCTACCCATCCACCTATTCATCCTTTCATTTATTCAGTATACTCAATGATTCATTCATTCAAAACCATTTGTTGAGTATTTGCTGTAGAGGGGAGTCAGCAGTACACAAGATTTCTCGTCTAGCTCATGATGCTTTTATTGGGGGAGAACCCCCAATAAAAAAATTAATTTAAACGCTGGTCGCAGAACTGACCAGCTGTATGACCTAGTTAGGATTCCCAACAGCTCTGTGTCTCCACATCTTTAAAATGGGAAAAATAATCTTGATAGCCTTTGTAATGACCTAACAGGCACTACTTTGATATGGTACAAAAATTAATGTACTTCGTACCTATTTTATAGATGGGTCATGATGGTTCAACAAGTTAATATATGTAATAACTTACAAAAGCTCGTGGCACATTGTAAATATTGCATTATATAATTACATATTGATTCCCATTGTCTCCTGAAAGTAGTTAAATTGCAGTAAGACATTGATGCACATGTTTCTTTCAATGCCTGTCAGAGCTCTGACCAACTGATAAGGTTGGGAAAAAGCAGATGTAACAGGTATAGACAATAAATACCCAAGTGTTTTAGAGGCTAAGAAGAAAGTTATATTTGAATTGTAAACACCTTGTTGAATTGAACTCTCCTCTACCGACCATCCCAGGACTTTTTAGCAAATGAACAGCTTAGAAATGAGTGATTACCCTATATTAGTGTAACGAGTGGGAGATTTGTAGAGGAACATCTGTGAATGGGGGACATACTCTCAGATTTCTCTTGACTTTATTTTCTGAATCATATATATATATATATATA